TTATCAAATATAATTTATATACTATATAACATGCATAAATAAATATATATATATATGCAATATATATATGTATATATGTATAAATATGTATATATATGTATATAGATATATATATATATATAATATATATATAGATGTATATATATATACATATATATATGTAGATGTATATATATAGATTTATTAAACGTAATATGTATTATATAATAATAATATACATCATGTTCTATCAATTAAAACAAAGACATCCTTAGTATTAAATATTACACGTTTAACAATTATATTATTTGTGTTTATTTGCTGTCTTTACTATTTTGTTTATTTGTTTGTTTGTGTTTGCGATTATATTTTTAATTTGTTTGTTCGTTTGCTGCTATTATATTATATTTAAGTATTTGCTTCTTTGCATTTAAACTGAAGACATGTATGTCGTTATAAGAAGATAAACGAAGTAAAGAAGAGACAGAAAGAAAGAGTTAAAAGAAATATTTAAATGTGCTTGTTTATTTTTTTGTCTCTGTCTTCTTTAATATGATTATATATATATGTATATGCATATATATGTATATGCATATATATATATATATATAAATATATAGATATACATGTGTGTATATGCATATATATATATATATATATATATATATATATATATATACAAAGAAAGAGACGCAACAAACATTTAAATATGCTTCATTGGTTTTGTCTCTGTCTCCTTTTCAGGGTTTGTTTCTTCTGTCTCCTTTAAAATAATATATGTTAACAATCATTATAATATAATAATTATTATTATTATTAGTCGTCGTTATAATAATAATACTTATTGTTATTTTTATTTTTTTAATTTTATTTTCTCTATTATTTATTATTTTTATTTTGTTTATTATTTATTAATTATTTTTTATTTTATTTTGTTTATTATTTATTATTTTTGCTCTTCTGGCTGCAGTTGCAGCGAAGCGCTGCAATGGGGTCACTGGCGGTGGTATTGTTATAATTATTTAGATGAAATAAAGCGTAAAAAGATTATAATTAACATAAATTAATTGATTAATTAATTAAAATAAATTATTATGTTTATTTAAATGCTTATAAACCCTCTTTTCAGGTGTATATACACCTCAACTTCGGTGGACCAGTGGAGACCCACCGGCAGCAGCAGCGGTCTGCATACACCTGAAAAGTAATTCTTTTTCTTCGTTTTTTTTGAATATTTGCATAAATTAATTAATTGTATTTGTTTATTTCATTCATTTCTTCTATTTGGCGCTTTATTCAAGCAAAAATCATACAAAAAAACCCTCTTTACCCTCTCTCTTTCTCTCCCCCCACAGAGCAGCTCCACTGGTGTGTTTGTATACAGCGCAGAAGACAGTATAAAGGTGTATTTGTTTATTAATTATTGTTTATTTATTTGTTTTATTTTCTTTTCTTTGTTTATTTTGACTATTGAATAGAGTTTTATCAATCTCTTCTATGCAAACCTGGGGGGTCTTCCAGCCTTCAGTGTACGTACTGTTGTTATGTTCTATAAAAATTAATTAAAATAATAAAAATAATAAAAATAAAAATAAAATAAATTAAAAGGGTAGAAAAAGATAAAAAGAAATCATCAAGGAATTCCCCTTACAAAAACCACAACAGCAGCACAAACAGAAACAGCAACAGCAGCAGCAGCAGCAGCAGCAGCAGCAGAAGCAGCAGCAGCAGCAGCTGCAGCAGCAGCAGAAGCAGCGGCAGGGCGAACCCATAAGACCATGGGGGGAGGCCACAGTAAAAACTGCCTAGACACCGCAGAAACAGAACAGCAAGATAGCAGCAGCAACAGCAGCAGCAACACAAGCAGCAGCAGCAACAGCAGCAACAACGAAGCAGCAGAGAACAGCGAGGAACTCTGCTCTTACTGCTTTCCTTCCTTGCCTTTGTACACCGCATGCAACAGCAGCACAGAAGCAAACAGCAGTACCAGCGGGCCTGTCAGCAGCAGCAGCAGCAGCAGCAACAGCAGCAGCAGCAGTACTAGTATCAGCACGCGAGATGCCTACAGCGATGCAACAACCACAGAAGTTGCGGACACAACCCCTGCAGCAGCAGCAGCAGCAGCAGAAGCAGCAGAAGCAGCAGCAGCAGCAGGAGGAAGCAGCAACAGGAGCCCTCCACCTGCTTTGGACTTCGCAGCTATTGCTGCTGCTGGGAACGACCTGCTCCTAGCCTCGTCTCCAGCAGCAGCAGCAGCAGAAGCAGCAGCAGACGCAGAGGCAGCAGACGCAGAGGCAGCAGCCGCAGAGGCAGCAGAAGCAGAAGCAGATGCAGCAGACGCAGCAGCAGCAGACGCAGCAGCAGCAGCAGCTGCTGCTAATGAATCCCTTTGGCCCCTATTTAATCGGCATTTGCATGCGCTGCTCGACCCTTCACTTGCTGCTAACGACAGCCCCATCCCGCTGCTGCAGCAGGAAGATCAGCTGCTAAAGAAACAACTTAGAGAGAAAGCAACGAACTACGTAAACCCTAAACCCTAAACCCTAAACCCTAAATCCTAAACCCCAAACCCTAAAACCCTCAACCCTAAACCCTAAACCCTAGACCCTAAACCCTAAATCCTAAAACCCCAAACCCTAAACCCTAAACCCTAAAACCCTAAACCGTAAGCCCTGAACCATAAACCCTAAACCCTAAACCCTAAACCCTAAACCCTAGCGGCAACGATTCTAGTTCGTGTTTGGAGTGCAGGTGTTGGCTGCTATGGAGAACTGCATGCAAGAGCGGCATCTCTTTAATATTAATTATTCTTCAAAGTATAGTGATGAAGCATTTGAGTATAGGTGAGCTCCCTATACACCCCAAATGCAGCAACAGACAGTTTAGGGTTTAGGGTTTAGATTTTAGGGTTTAGGGTTTAGGGTTTAGGGTTTAGGGTTTAGGGTTTAGGGTTTAGGGTCTAGAGTTTAGGGTTTAGGGTTTAGGGTTTGTGTGTGGGTTACTCAGGGTTGTGTGTTTGCCTTTGGAGCACCCCTTCTTGCAGCTGCCTCAGCAAATTATTCTTCATTTTGCTGCTGCTCCTGCTGCTATTCATTTTCTTGCTGCTGCTGCTGCTGTTCTGGGGCCCCAGCCCGCCTTCCGGCAGCAGCAATTACCACCTGCTGCTGCTGCTGCTGCTGCTTCTGCTGCTGCTGCTGCTGCTGCTGATGGAGAGCCACAGCACAGGCCTGAATCCACAAGGCAGCCCTCGGATGCAGCAGCAGCAGCAGCAGCAGCAGCAGCAGCAGCAGCAGAAGCAGCAGCAGCAGGATTTAGGGAGGGCAGCAGGTTTTGGGGGGTACAGCAGAGCGAGTTTTCAGAAGCAGCAGGCGGACGGGAGGCCGCAGCAGCAGCAGCTGCTGCTGCTGCTGCTCAAGCAGAAATTGCAGCAGAAGAGTGCCCTGCTGCTGCTGCTGCTGTTTCTATGGTCTTCGAGAGGTCGCTGCAGCTGCCAGAGGCAGCGTGGCGCTGCCTTGGGGTAAGCAGTCTCCACGTCAGCTAGCTAGCTAGCTAGCTAGCTAGCTAGCTAGCTAGCTAGCCAGCTAGATAGGTAGATAGGTAGATAGGTAGCTAGCTAGCTAGGAAGGTAGCTAGCTAGCTGACGGGTATCCTCTTCAGATAGCTAGCCAGCCAGCTACCGACCAAGGCAGCTAGCTAGCTAGCTCTCTAGCTAGCTGGCTAGCTAGCTTTCTAAATAGCTATCTAGCTAGCGACACAGTTAGGCATCGAGGTAGCCAGCTTACGCGGTAGCTAGCTAGCTAGGCAGATAGCTAGCTAGCTAGAGAACTTAGCTAGCTAGCTAGAGAACTTAGCTAGCTAGCTAGCTAGCCGAAGCCCTAGAGAGTAGGTAGATGGAGGGTGGCTAAAAGGAGACAAATAAAGAGACAGGGAAATGAAGAGACAGAACGAAGTAAATGAAGAAGAGAAGGTAAAGAGAGATAAATAAAAAACAAACAAACAAACAAACAAACAAACAAACAAACAAACAAACAAACAAACAAACAAACAAACGATGAAGGAGACAAAATAAAAATAAAAGAAGAATAAAGAAAAAAAACAAAAGAAGTATAAACAAATAAAATAAAAACAAAAGTAGACAGACAGAAAGACAAAAGGAGACAGACAGAAAGACAAAAGGAGACAAATAAAAACAAAGACAGCAGACAAATAAAAGCAAAGACAGGAGACTCTTGTTTTTTTTTGTTTGCAGATTAGGCTGAGTAAGGGCTGGCAGCACATCGGCACCAGCATGCACGAGACTTACGCCTTCCTCTTCGCAAGGTCAGCAGCAGCAGCAGCAGCAGCAGCAGCAGCAGCAAATGCAGCAAATGCAGCAGCAGCAGCGAATGCAGCAGCAGCAAATGTTAAGGCAGCAGTATATGCAGTTGCTGCTTGCAGGAGAGAAGCAGCACCGCAAAGACATTTGTCATTTCTGTGCTCTTGCTGCTGCTGCTGCTGTTGCTGTTGCTGCTGCTGCTGCTGCCGTTGCTGTTGCTGTTGCTGCTGCTGTTGCTGCTGCTGCTGCTGTTGCTTCTGTTGCTTCTGTTGCTGTTGCTGCTGCTGCTGCTGCTACTGTTGCTGCTGCTGCTGCTGCTGCAGGCCTCTGCAGACAGACGGCGCCACCGGTGTTGCTCCTGTGTCTTGTTTGCTGCGAGCGCAGCAGCAGCAGCGAGAGAAGAGGGTTTGTCTTTTGTTTTTATTTATTATTTTCATTGCTTCTCTTTATTTGTAATGTTTGTCTGCTGTATATGCACTGCGATGAGGTGCAGATACACCTGAAAAAAGCCACAAACTGCTGCTGCAGCTGCTGCTGCTGCTGCTGCTGCTGCTTCTACTGCTGCTGCTGCACTGCATGCACTTTGCATGCGTCTTTCTAATACTACGCCAGTTGTATAACTGCATGCAAGTGGATTTGTTCGTAACAACCCCCTACTACAATAAACATATATATATATATATATATATATATTCATACTTTATAGGTGTATACATACATAAAGTATATATTTACATGCATGTACATATAAATAGTAATGCGTATATATATGCATGTAGTAATATACATATATGTATATATATATATTATGTATATGTACGATTGTTTTAGTTGTGTGTGGTGCATAGCACTAATGCGGGTCTCTAGACAGAGCAGCAGCAGCAGCAGCAGCAGCAGCAGCAACTCAGCGGTAGCTGCTAGCTGTTTGTGTGTGGATGCTGTTGCTGTTGCTGTTGCTGTTGCTGCTGCTGCTACTACTGCTGCTGTTGTTGTTGCTGCTGCAGCGACTCCTGGAGGCCTTTGCAGAGGATTCTTTGAAGGCTGCTGCAGCAGACAGCTGCCAGTCTTTGTGGGGTGTATGCGGAGACACTTCAACTGTCTCCTTTTCACTGTCTCCCCAAGTTGTTGTTGAACGCAAAAGA